CAAAATAATTAAAGACTGAATTTACCATACGGCAGTTTCCATCTTTCTCAAAAGAAGAAAGGGAGTGGGAAGAAACAGAAATAAAAATATATAAAAGAAAGAGCAGAAAAGAGAAAGGATTGCCCCAGCCCTCCAACTTTCCTTTATGAAAGGCAGAAGACCAAAGGGTTTTTCACTTGTTGAGGGCCAGACCACGGTTTAGGATATAAACCCTGCTCCTCTTGGGTTGTGGTGCTGAGCACTCATCCTGCCCCTTTGCTGTGACCTGTCAGGGCGTGGATTGCCAAGGCACTAGGGAAGGATTTCCTGCAGGACCAGCTCCTCTCCTGAACATCTCTCTAGGGACAGAGCCAGTCTGCATGGGTGAGAATTTAACCCATGTGTGACAGACATAGTGCAGAGGAATGATACTGGGCTTAGTAAACCAGCCAAGTAAGATGTGCTGGGATTGGCTGTAGTAACATAAAGAAATATCCTTCAGTGGAACAGCAAGAGAATACCAGTTGAGAGACAAGCCTCACCTGTTGGTGAATACTATTCTTAGCCTGGACTTTGCACAAAAACATTGCAGAAATCCCCACAAAGCTATATACGGTGGGTCAGGAGAGTGCAACAAGCTAGCAGAGGAGTTAAATTAATCTCTTGCATTGTGTCTGCTGCTGAGAGCAGTGTAGAAATTCCTGTGCCAAAGGCACTTTGCAAAGAAAATCAGAGTGTGGCCTTTATACAGATTGAAGTCTCTAAGGAGGAAGTTGTAGAGTAACTTGAGAAACTCAAGTGCAGTAAATCACCACAACCGGATGGTGTTCATCTGGGAGTTCTGAGCGGAAATAAAGTGAGAAAAAGCCAAAATACTGACAAGAGGATGCCTTCTTCCCTTGAAAAATGCAGCAGCACAAGAAGGCTGGGAAGCCCTATTATGTTGCCTGTCTTCAAAAGGAGATGAGGAAAATCCTGGGTATAAAAGACCTTTAAAGTTTGCCACAGTTTTAGGGAGACCAAAAATACTAGTTCTGAACAACAGCTCAAGAGAGAGCTTGTTGGACAAGAACACCCCATGAAGGTGTTCTTCAGTCTCCCAAACCACTAAGGCAGTTACAAGGGGGGAAAGTACACTCAGTTACTTTGAAAAACCAGTGGAGCAGCCTTCAGAGGAAAAGTGGGATGACAGAGTCTTTTCAGAGAAAGACGACCAAATGATCCAAAGATTCTAAAGGTTACATGGAGGTCAATAATGAGCAATTGTCACAGAGAATATTAAGAAATAAAACTGAGAATAATACTTGATGATGATTCCATCCTGGAATGAACTACAAATCAGTCTGGAAGGAGTGAATATGAGAAGAATTTCTATTGAGGCAGGGAAAGGTGAACACCCAGTAGTAGGTATCAGGACTAGTGTCATAACAAATGAGTCTGAATCCCAAGCCCCAAGGCATTCAAATTAGTGTATCCAGAATCCACCCAAGATCTGGATTCACATGTCACACATGTGGTTCCCATCTTAAAAGAGGACAAATCAATTCCTGGGTTGAAACTCCTGAGGTTTGTGCTCTGAGGTTTGAATACTCCATATTCAAAGTCTTCAGCCTACACAACAGTTACAAATGAAATATGGGGGGTGGGAGGAGTGCATGTGTACACATAGCATGCAAAGGAAGCAATTAAATATAAACCCAAAACAATTTAAAAAATGATCCATGGCAAAAAGTGCTCTGATGCAGAGACTGTATTTATTCTTTACATTAACTTGCTGCAGCTAGCTGAAAGGACACAAGATTACAAGTAATAGACAGTGGGGATTTTGCTGGTTTGGTAACCTATTTACCATCAAACATTTAAAATTATCTGGATTTACATGGCTTTGTACCCTTCCATCTTCTCTCCTATTTTTTTTTTTAGTTCCTAGACTAGGCCCAGTGTACTGAAGGCAAAGCATTTCCAGTTTTAATTCGCTTTGTCTCGAATTCATTCGATTTTGAAAGCTTTCAAAGGAAGTCACAGGTAGGAATTAGAGAAAATATAGAAAGTGGGACATTTCTGACTAGCTTGTATGTTTCCAGTGTCTAAAAAGAAAGCTTTTTTTAAAAGCAAACTGTAGGAGGGTTTGTAAAAATAGATATTTACATTTACATATTGGGACAGATCCTCAGCTGCCATGGAGCAGTATTGCTCCATCCTCTTGAACAGGACACAGCTGAGAGCCTACCTCTCACACATGCACATACATGTGTGGAGTATATCCAGGATTCTGTATTTTTCCAAATGTACAGAAATCTGCTTCTCCCTCCAGGTACTTTTGCTTGTGCACTAGGTTGTGGGAGTTACAGCTCCTCTGTTTTTAACTGAGGGTAGTGTCTTCAGGGAGGCAGGGTGTGATGGAATGTTGAAGTGCTAGGAGAGGGACGCATGAACAAAGAAACTCAGGGAAGAAGGTGATGGAGAGAAATAGGAAAGAAAATGGTATCCTACGTAGCCACGCTGTGCCAAGCAATGTCTGCATTCACAGCAACAGGGAGTTAAACTGTGATTATGAAGCAACCATGACTTTTGGAAAACACCTCAGGTGTTTCCAGCTATGTAACAGGAATAGCAGGAGACCTGCTATGATAGCAAGGTGGAGAAAAAGGAGCTCTGCGCTCAGCTGTGCTGCTGCAGGAGTCACATAACAGCACAGAGAGTAGGTGTCACATCAGATAGTGCTAATAGGTGCCAACAGCCACCTTCACCCCTTTCCCCTCAGTCTTTCCCTGTGTGAGAGTCAAGTGAATATCAATGTGAAACAACTCTGCATGACTGTGTGCTTCTGCCCACACAGTGGGACCCTGGTAGTGATTCAGACTGTACTGGACTTTGGACACATAATGTACACTGAATATCCATAATAAATAATAATTACCACAGTAGGGGGCAGCAGCCAGCTGTGGAGGAAGAGTAGGGCCAGCTGCTGGAAGAGATGTAGGCACTGGCTGAGCATGCAAGCTGGGCACTGGGGAGGGCGAGAGGGCCATGGCTGGGAGCCAGTGGCAGTTTACTGCCAAGAAAAGGGAGATAAAAGCACAAAAGAGTTTCACCAGAGGGAGCTGCTCCTGGCCACCCCTCAGCAATCGGTAGCGGCCCTGATCCAGGAGGGAAGGCTGATGGCAAACAGGAGCATCGCCAGCCTGTGAGCGTGGCCAACACTGCTCACACGCACCATGCTGGAGCTAGCACGACGGGTGTCTGTAAGCCAAGCAAGCCTGCTGCAGGGAAACAGCCCTGCACAGACCTCTGGCTTGCAGGAGACCCATACCTCCTCCAGAAACGAGGACAGACCCATCCTGTTCCCCTCAACATGTCCCCAGATGCACATCCAGCTAAAGCAGAGTCAATACTCCAGAAATGAGTGCAGATACAAAAGGGACTGATAGACACATGGTCAATGCTTTTATGAACCCCCTGATGCTCAGGTCTCCTTGATTTCATCTACAGAGAAGTGTCCTAGGAGCACTGAAGATCACCTAATAGCGGGGCTATTTTTTGTCTGAATTCCTCAGAAGGCCTGACACTTAGTGCTTAGGTTCCCCAGGTGGTATGATAAACACAAAACTGCGTTTGAACACACTGCACACACTGCACACACTCAGCAGTCCAGTCATCCAGTACAACAAAAATTTATCAGAGATTTAAAATATTTTTCTAACCCCTCTGAAAAGTAATTTCTAAGACCAAATCAGCTCACCAGTCTCATTTTCACAAGGACATTCATGGCATGCTCCTCACACACTGGCTCCTAAACAAGAGTCAACAGCATCCCAGGGTCAGCTCCTCTCTTTGTCCCACATGGAATACTCAACTCTTGCACCAGCACAGTGTAACAGTTAATTAGCACATGTTCTCTGTAATAATTATAACAATGTGGCACATTTCCCTTGAATTTAGCGTAGTGCTATTTATCTTTACTCATATTCATATCTTACCTTCAAACGTGCTTTCTCTGCCTGGTTATTTTTCACTGAGTTCAATTGCAAATAGATAAAACCTGTTTGCTTCTCTCTCCCAAGGAGGAGTATGTGTATTTCCAGAATCTATTCGCATCCACCAGGAAAAGTCACACACAACAACTGAAGCTCAGTTGGGCTTTTTTTTGCTGTGTTCCTGGTTGGTTGAGGATAGGGGGTGTAGTATGGGGGGTGTTAAAGTAAAGCTGCTTTTCCTCCCTTTCTCAGTATAGCAGCTGACAGATTTTTCAGTCCCAGTAAAAAGAAAGGGCTCTCACCTGAATCTCAGTTTATGTAGCCCACAAGAGAGTGAAGAAATTGATAGAGGACAAACCAGGCAAATAAGGTATGGTATCAGGGAGAAACATCCATCATTTTTGCGGGTAGTAGACAAGCATAATCCATATGTGAGCTAAAATGCAAATTCATGGGCAACAAAAAGCCTATATGTTGAACATATCTACAGCTCAAACATAAAGAATCATATTCTTTCTGAATAACTTATTTCTGAACATCTGACCTTAAGAACCAGCCTCAGTTAAGCACTGGCAAACACCAAGATTTGGAAGGAAGTTAGGGGTGTTGCACTACTTTGAAAGCTCTGTTTTGAGCCAGCTGTCATTACGAATGTCTGCTGGTACCCCGCCTTAGCACACAGCCTGTCACGGGTGAGCATAATGAGACTGTGCCAATGGAGTATACTGAACTATGTCTTCTTGCATGTCCTTGTAGCTCAAATTAGCCCTTCACACAACCATAACAGGTAAGCTCTGAATCTGCTTATGCCACATTCTAATTGGTTTCATTTAATTTGTGTATATGTCTCTCTGTGTTTGTATATACATATATGCATATTTATATGCACATATGTATATTTGGACATCATTATTAAAAGTAAATATGCATACTTTCACAGATTATTTCTATGCTTGTAAGAGATTCTTAGAGTAATTTGCTTTATTATACAATAAAACCATAGAAATTAATTGCCTTCTTTAGAATAAATAAGAAACACAGGACTCATTGTACTATATATGTTTAATAGTTTGGACATCTCAGTGCCCACATAAAACAAGGAAACATACACTGCAATAGGCAGGATAATTATTTCAGCGAGGAACATCCATCCCACACTCATAGAAATATAAGATTCAGCATCATGAGATTCTAGAATTATGTCATCAGCTGCACGAGTTTCACAGCTTATCTTTATGATTTTATGTTACAGAAGTAAACTCCAACAAAAATGTATAGCACTGCCAAATTTAACAGCACATTCATGTTAATACTAGCTGTAAAGATTTCAAAAAGGTGAATAACATCAGCATTTCTATACATCTGTGTGCACTTACATATATATATTCACATGTATACACAGACATGCACATATAAATGCACACATACATGTCTGTGCTATTTATATAACCTGTCTTTAGAGATGCCATTATTTTATAAGGTTAATTCCAAGTACGTTAAACTTGAAAACAACGTTCTATACAGTTTACCCATTTAAAGAAGTCCCTGCTGGTGCACAGAAGATCAAGCTAGATGAGTTCATTAAGCATCATCGGATGAGGCTGCAGGTAGCCGAAACATTCCTTAATGGAAATTTAAAGAGAGCAGATTAAAATTATATTCCTCCCATCCAACAGAACACAAAGGTAAAGACAGTCAATTACAACCAAGATCTCATCTACCACAAAAGGAGCATTGTAGTTTGTAGATCAGAACTTATTGCCTGAAGTGAACAGCTAGGCTTGTCTCTGTGTATATAATTACTTTCTACAATGTACTCTTCTAGCATTCAGATGTAGTTATGGAAGATGATGTTTTCCATAATGTTAAACTGTTATGTTCATGACCAAGAGTTAGATAATCTCAACAGCATCAAAGATGTTTTATCTGTGCTATTCTGTCTGTTTACACTATGAGAAATTTAAAAAAAAAAATGCCATGTACTTTATTTTTTTAACTCCTAGGTTAACTGTTTTAGTAGTGTTTTGTGGGTCAATAAAGTGGCACCAAGGAAGTGGTTCAAGCAGGATACCTGTGTGCCTGTTCAGAATGCTTGCAGCTTTCCCCTGGACACAGTGACAAGACACTAAGGGGGCTCAGCTCTATACCAGATCTGTTGTTAGATCAGAGAAATGCACCACATCTTTAAAATCTCATAACTAAAAGAGATACTGACAGGCAGTTGTGTGATGAGAAGAAATGAAGAATAACAAGAGGGGTGAAAGGACTGCTACATTAGGAAAGATTAGGTGAGCTAAATATCTATGAGTTTCCTTAATGCTAACTAAAGACAACATCACACTAGTTAAAAGAGATCAAAGGGAAAGAAGGAAATTTGCAAAGGGACATAAATAGAAGAAATATGATGACGTTAACAATAGGAAAAAACTCCTGACAACAGGATGCTCTAGGCAACACAACCTCTCCCTTGAGATATGGCATCACTTAGGAAATTTAATCTAGGCACAAAAAACCACAAAAATATGCCATAAGAAACAACTTCATAGTGTCAGGAAGATGTACTGGACGACCCAAAAGATACATTGCTAATTGGTGTGCACCTGTTATCTGTGATTTTCCTTGCTTGTATGGCCAACTCATCATTACTTGTCTGTATTTGGTTTCTCTGGGTCCCATCCAACTCATGCTGCAGTCAACAGAAGTTTCTGACAGGAGCAATAGGACCTCGATGTCTGTTCCAAGTCTTTGCTGTTCTAAAAAGAAGAGGGGAAAAAAGCCCACACAACTTTGCAAGAACTTAATGCATCCGGTGCATGAACCCATATGCAACTGAACCCTTAAATTTTTTGTATATTTAAACCTGTGTTTATCCTTAGAGATATCTGAGGAAATGTGCATTTGCTTTCACTTGGTGCAGCTAAAATTTTTGCTGGTGAGGAAACTTACAGTTCATCTAAAAATACCTTCTAATGAAAAACTGCTTTGGTCATGGAAGAGTGAAGAAAATTCTCTACACCAAATTAAAAGTAAGTTCTATACATTACACAGAAATGTCAGAGACCTTTCTATCACTAAAGCAGTAATGCAACTGATTAAAAAAACTAACCATGAATTCTGAACTCAAGACCATAGTTTTCAAATATTTTTACCCGATGTCTTATATATATAATCAAATTGTACTTAAAATCCACTTGCTTGCAGGTAGAGAGTCACTAGTTTGTGGCAGCTCAGTGTTGGCCCCTTGAGAGACACAAATTTCTGTGTAAGTGGGGCTGAATGTCCAGGGGTCAGAGCTGTGTTGGTGCTGTCCATATATCTAGCAGCTGGTATTGTTAATCTTTAGAACAACGTTTCTGAAAATACTAAACAGACACTTTGGTAGCCAGTATTGAGCCTGTGGCTATACTGCTTCAGGCTGTGATCTTGTCAGGTTTTACAAGATAAGTAGGGTCAGGCAGGGTCACCACTTGGATTGGAAATTCTAAGGAAAGGCGGGAGCTGGCAGAAGTGTCTCAGGTGATAGAATAGCTGTAACCATTTTCCCTGAGCCGTTTCTAATATCCCGATGAAGGCATAATGCCAAGCCATGACACAAGAGCAAGATCCTCACCCTCTGCAGCCATCAAGTGCATCATTTGCAAAGGGATCTTTCCCTGGCCTGGCATGGAAGTCTGAGGTGCAATATGTGGGAGATGGCAAAATTCAGGTGCTGCATGTGCACTTGGTCTTGGATAAACAGCATGTAAATGTTGGGCTCCAGCATGTTTCATCAGGAAGGAGATAGAGGTGAATGCCCTTTCTGACATTTTGGGAATGCTGGTAGCTCCAAATTAGGTTTTGTCCATGTCTATAAAGCAAAAGACAAGCCTATTGAGTGAAGATCCTATACACTAACTTTCAGCCTCACACACTTCTACAGAAAGTATAGAAATACATATAGATAATGAAATCCTTGCCCAATGGTCTACATTGCCAAGAATTTTAAATTGTAAGTTAACCAATTTCTCCTCTAAAGTTCAAACAATAAATAAAATTCTATGTGAAAAATGGAGCCTTTTATTCCTTTGTTAAAATCTGATCAGAGTAAACTACAGATGTTAAAAGGCATTGTAGTTCAAAGAATTAAAAGAATCTTACAGGGTTTGTACAAAGAAAAGAGTTTTAGAGAATAATATGGAAAATATTATAATGCTATTATATAAATCAGTGGCACATCCTCACTTTGAATACTGTCTTCAAATTTGGTCACCTCATCCCTGAAAAAAGAAAGTAGAAATAGAACAAGTCCAGAGAATGGTAATAAAAATGATAAAAGTCAAAAGGATGGGAAATTTCTTGAGAAAAGAGAAAGAATAGGCATCCCCTTGTCTCTCAGGAAAAATATATTCTCATGGGACATTCATAGATATGGCACTTAGGGACATGGTTTAGTGGTGACCTTGGCAGTGGTAGGTTAATGTTTGGACTTGATCTTAGAGGTCTATGATTCAAATCATACTGAACTGAACAAAGCCTCTCCATAAACTTAGAACACATGCTGTTGTCTCAGACAATCTAGAAAATGTCCTTGGACCCCAGCAGTTCTGGAGAGCCCTGGGACCTTTCATGAACCAGATATTGTAGGTATTTTCCTCAGTGCACTTTGTTGTTTTAAAGAACTTTCAGCCACTGGAGGCCAATCTGACTCATGAACAGTGGACAGGACACAGAGCTACATATTAGAAACACTTTTCCTTTGTCAAATCATAGGATCATAGAATGGTTAGGGTTGAAAAGGACCTTAAAGATCATCTAATTCTGATCCCATCACCATAAGCAGGGATACCTTCCATTAGAGCAGGTTACTCAGAGTGCCTTATAACCTAGCCTTGAACATTTCCAAGGGTGAGGCGTCCCACTTCTCTGGACAACATGTTCCAGTGCCTTACTTAGAAACTCTTATAGTAAAGAGTTTCATCGTAATATCTAATCTAAATTTCTTCTTCTTATGGCCATTGTCCCTTGTCCTGTCACCCTCATGCACTTGCGAAAAGTCCTTTCCAAGGAACTGGACTACACTCCTAACTCATTTTTTGTAGAAACTTCTCTTTTCCCTACCTTTCTCTTCTGAAAGGCATAGGTGGTTGAGAGATAACAATCCATTGACTTGACTGGCAACTTTTTCAGTTTAATCACTCATCTTCCTTGAAAATGTGCCATGTGTCTATTAAAACAGTCTCAGTCCCAAAGGACTTGCACAGTCTCCCTCACTTTGTGTGATGGGATCCCCAGGCTTCATCAGAGTTCTACTTAAGCATGACTATAATATAAATAACATTTTGTCCTCAGGATCTTTGAACTTAATTAGCAGCAGAGGAAAAAGTCTTTCCTATCCTGCAAGGTGATACAAAAAGGTATTGAATTTTAAATGGATGAAAGGAATTGCTTTTCCAAACAATGTACAGCTAATTAATGGAACTTGCTATCATATGGTTAGTACTGAGAGAAACAGCATCATATTTGTAAACAAGAAGTCAATCTTAGGCATAAAAGCAAAATTTCACACAAAGCTCAGGTTGGGTTAAATTCAGTTGAAAGCAGAAGATCAGATTAGATAATAATAATGGTTGCTTGTAGCCTTAAAAAAATCTGTATTTTACTAGCTGCTACTATACAATGATGCCCAATCATCGCAGTGGTTCATGGTACGTGCCAATCAATAGGCAGTGTCAGGACAGCACCTTCACACATGGTAAACCATCACACTGGGCCTTCAGAGGGTCAGGAAAGTCCAGCGGGCTTTTCAAACTGGTGACTGTCTCATCTCTTTCTAGAATGGGACAAATCCTTTCTCCTCCAGCCCTGTATGGGAATCTTGGAAGCATCAGTCATACTCATGCTAGCATGGTGGGTCTTCAGCTCTGTCTGCAGGTCTGCAGAAATAGGATGACCAAGTCCAACAAGGTAAAAAGGGCAAAAAAGGTTTGGAGGAAGGTGAGGAAATCAAAAGGTCAATCTCTTGACTGGTGTGACAGCACACACTGGAGTCCCAGTGCCCCATTACCCACATTTGCATCCCTTCTATCCCATCCAAACCCAGAACCACCCACAGGAACCTGTGGAAGCAGAAGGTCCATCCTCAGATGCCCATGGTTGAGTTGCTAACTGAACCTTGGAACGGGGCAACATTCCCCGTGGACAAGTGTGTTCTATGGTGTTTCAGGCACTTTTTTCTACTTGAGATATCCTAAGGTGGGAGCAGAACCAGGAGATCTCATTTGTCCTTTTTGCCTTATCTCATATTACCTTACTGTGGTGGGGCATGATACATACCCGATTCATCTCTGAACTGTTAAGAATATGTTCATGCTGACAAGGTACCAAGAGAATAGAGGCACTTTTTGGCATGATTGCACTTACCTACAACTTCAGTCATCTTATGGGCCCCCCGAGAAATCAAGGAGGATGTCTTCTAGTGAATAGCTGTGCTGGGGTCATTTCAGTTAAGCGAAGTCGCTTCAGTCTTGTGGGTTCAAAAAGTTATCTCCTGGGAGAAAAAGAAAACAAAAAAAAAATAAAAGGGGCAAATCAGCTCCTTACACTGGTGGTTTTATACCATCAAGGTGTTCTTTTACATAAAGTCAAAGAATACACATAAAGTAAGCAGAAAATGCTCATGCAGTTGCTCTTCCAGGATGTTTGTAATGGCAAGCTAGATTGTAAATTATTTCTTTAGAGGCCAGAAAGCACAGTGGAAATAATGTATATTATTCATAAAAATGATTGTCCTGTTCACTTGTATACCTCTGCAATTTATTCTGTAACAGCTTTTTACTTCAAAGAAATCACTAGCTAATGACATCTCAAACTTAAAAAAATCCACTTATTCACAACCCTGCCCCTGAGGGAATTCCTGCATGTTATCAGAAATTTTTCCAAAGATCATTAACAGATATTACAAACCAATTGAAACTGAGTATTTTCTTTGCAAATTACTTTTAACTTTAGAGCTATTGAAAAAAGACATTGAGTGATTTAATTTACTTAATCTGTCTACAGATTGCAGCTATGTGCATATCCTGTGATTGCATTTCCAACAAAAAGCATATATAACTATCCCTAATAGGGATATTTTTCTAAATTATTGTACAAGATCAGTAAGATCTCTGCAGATATTAATGTTTACTTTTTCATTTAGAAAATTGCACTCAAAAAAGAAATGGGCATCTTTATTCTGTTGTTATTTTAGAAGTAATAGCACACTATAATACTTATTTTACCTGCTATTTTAATTAAAACTCCAATAATCATCATATCCTTTGAGGTTATGTTCTACTGATTTTTCTGAAAAATCACTGTATTTTCATTAGGCTGTGAAGACAATGTTTTAGAAACACCTTACATAGCAATGAGTATACCAAAAGAGATCCTCTATCTTGCATCAATCCAAAACACCAAGCTAATTCTGCAGTGGAGGGCTGGAGATTGTATTCTGTACCTCATTGCCTTAAACTCCTCCCAGACAGCCTTACATGTGTCAGCACCACTTCTGCAGGAAGTATGAAAAATCTCTCCCCCCATGAATATTTAGCATGCAGCTTCCTACCTAAGGGTCCTGCTCTCTCTGCAGATAAGAGATAAGGGCTTGAAGTCCCTGAAGATTGGGTGGAGTTTGAAGTTAATGCCTTTGAATGACATTGAACATAGCTGCTGTACTTTGTGTACTGCTCAGTCCTGATCATGTGTTACATGTGCTTTACCACGAACTCTTGGAAGACATATGGGTGAAGCAGCGGATGGTTTGAGGAGATGAATCAGGATTAACTGCTGGGAAGTTCAACTTAGCTGAGCTGGTGACTGTCAAAGAGACATGAGCAGAAAAAAGCTTTTAGGTGTCTTAAGAACTTTTGTATCAAAAATGCAGGTGATAAAAAATGCAAAGGATGAGTAGATTGGGAACCTGGACTTGGACATCTATATCCCACACAAGTTTCAGTCATCCCCTTTCATGGCCTTGGGCCCAAAGATAACTATTCAGAGAAGAATGCAGATTTTTCACAGCAAATAGATGCATAAACATCTTTTAATATCTTGCTTTGAGTGGTGAGAGAAATGGCAGAAAGGGTAACAGAGAATTTGCAGGTGGTAGTGCCTTCCTTGGATAGTCTGCATTTTCCTATCAGCTGGGTCAGAGGTCTGCAACCAGTCTAAAAACTTCTCCAGTCCCAGTACTACTGAACTCACTCTCTTGCTGTTTTCCTTTCCTGGGTTATGATAGAAAGATCTCACAATTAAAATAATTTTTTTCACAGCGCATCAAAATACATGGGGTCAGTTAAGCTAATTTCCAAACTCTGTCAAGAGCTGAAAAAATTACTCCCTGAGCTACCTGATGTCCAGTTTTTTCCTATAAAAATTAAGAAACCATAAATCTTTACAAAGGTCCCATGCCATTAGCTGTTCCTGCCACCATCCTGTGGAGGTAGGTAGGCACGAGAAAGAGGAACTGGCTGCTACTGAGCGATATCTGGGCTGGTTACTGGCCTGGTGTTAACCCACACAGCACTCAGATAAGTGCAAAGGGAGGATGCCTTTTTCCCTGATAGAATGCCCTTTTTCCCTGATAAAATTGCAGCCTCTCATTCTTGCTCTTCATTCACCCCCATGACCTGCTCAAGACACTTTTCTAGTCATGGTCCAAACCTCTAGTTTACAGCCATAATAGCACTGAGACTGTCAGTAGCTGTCTCTGTGAAATTCAATTGGTTTTCAGGATCCCCTGCTTTTAAATGTGTTTCCCTCACCCTTCTGCCACACACTTGCAACTGGCATTACAGTGTCAGATCAGATGGCACACATGGAAAGCCAGAGCCTCAACACATTTGCTAGTGGCTTTTGCTTCTCAAGCAGTGCAATATCTTGTGCATATCCAGCTTCAGGGACAAGGCAGTTCAGCACTCTATCCTCCCTGTCTTCCCTGCCTGCCGTCCTCCTCCCAGGAGTCCTGTGTTGTTTGTGCTTTACTACAACCACACGCCTGGTGCTCTGGTCTCTGTCTGCAGCTCCTTCTACTTGGAGACTGGTGACAGAGGCCCCCAGCGTGCCTCTGTCAGGGGTGACCTGGCCTTTCCACCTGCCAGCATCGGGTGCTGTGCCATCAGCTGCCAAACTGGCACAGCTCCACCGGCTGCAGCAGCTGAGCGCTTCTCTTGTCACTCAACCCAGGACATCTCCACGGAGTCTGATAACACATCTGCTAATTAATGCCAGTTGTGATCATTGGTCAGATCCTCAACTGGGTTAAATTGAAACGCGTCCATTTAAGCCTGTGACAATTAGCAGCAGCTTAGAGCTGACCCGATGGTTTTCTCTATGACATGAATATGTGTCTTGTTCTAAGTGAGTAAAACCCACCAACAAATTGCATAAAAACTGCCAAATGATCAGAAAATGAGTGTTAGTAACTCCAAGCCAAGACCAAACTACAATGGTGGCAAAGTGATAGCCCCAGCTATGTTAACAACTTTCTGAGCCATCCAAGTTCCTTATAATAAAAATAATTAATAATAAGAGATATGCTTCTGGACACATTCACCTTTCTGTAAAGAAAGCCTAATGAGTCTGTGTTTTAAAACACAGACTGTCAGAAAATTTAAGTGTGATTCTATTAACTTGTAAGCATAGTGTTTAACATTTTAACAATAGAATAGATAAAATCTATTGTTGAATTCAGTTTTTAAGATTTGTAAAGCAGCACTAGTAAGTAGAAAGGAACAGTTCAAGAATTTTCTTTGTATTTTGTTTCTGCCCTTTGTCAAAATTTTAATGCAGTCAATACTTCCACCCTGTTAGTTTGTATTACCAGTTCTCTCAACCATAACAAGCAGAGTTGTAGAAGGTATTAAATCTTAAACAGAGGTAAGTAAGGTACTCCTGGAAATAAAGCAAAAGTTTGATAGGTTGTGTCAAAAGGAACTGCAGTTATTATTATAATTTATTATTTGTTAAGCACTGACAATGTGCTCAGTTCTGCTGATTAAGTTTTTCTGAGCAAGTTCTACTGATTATCTTCTGAGGACAACACACTGTACTACAAAGAAGATATGTGACAGCTATCAAGACTTTTGCTTTCAAGACTCACTTAGCAAAACAATTACATGCCAGTTATGCAGGTTTTATGGAAAAAAAGAGAGAAAATGCATAAACTGAGTAAATATCATGACTTTTGTGTTCACTAATTTTCCTACTCCAGATCTCTCACTTCAGCACTGTCTGAAAATCTCAAAGTTACAGTGAGATTTGAGGAAGATCTAAAGCCTCATCCCTGTTTATATTCAGTTATAAGCATCGTGTTATATTAGAGGCATGCACACAGGCTGTATTGTTAGAATCTGTCTTTGGATCTGGGACTCGCTCCCCAGCAAGGGCAGAGATGGCTGAATGGGGCCAGCCTGAGACAGACAAAAATCCAGACTGGAGACAGACAACACCAGACTCACACATGCATTTCCTTCATGCCACAAAGCAGATCAGACTGAGCTAGCCTGTGCTCTACCCATAGGTGGTGATCTGACCTTACAAAGATATTTGGGGTGCAGGTGCCTCAAGGGAGCCTTCCTATCCTTGCTAGATGGCTCTCAGGGCTGTTTCTCTAACAGACCTATTGTTAGATTTCTCCAGCCTGAGCTATAGGCACGTTTTTGGGCATCTAGGAGTCAAGGATGTTTGGGTTTTGCTGATCTAGAGGCACTGCAGATATTCTATTCCTGTTAACTCTGTGCCTGGTTTATATCTACTTTAGCATGTAACGAAATCACAGTTTCTCCCTTCACCTTTACCCTCAGATCATCTATGTACAGTTTACCTCCAGGGTGGAAGATTCCCCAAAACAGGCATTTGATGGCAAAATAATGTCCATGCATCTGTGTTTGCACAGCAAGGGACAGGGCAAAGGACTGCTCTAAGAATCTCTGGCCAAATTTGCGTGTCAGGAGGGTGCCAAACAGACATTGTCCCTTGCCCCAGCCAGGCAACACCTAGGCTTTCAAACCACAGCACTGCCAGGGTTCCAGCTGTGCAGATGTTCTTAGAAGAAAAACTCCCTTTTGTCTGCTTCTATCCTTTAGCCTGCACACTTCCCTAAATCCTGCCAGCATGCTTTTTTTTTTTTTTTGTAACTGACAGAGAGAAGTGAGTTCTTATATAAATCTTTTGTGTGAAGATCAAACTGCGCACATGTAGAACTATTTTTTTTTTTAGGGAAAAATCTGCCCTAAAATAATCATTCCATGTTATCCTCACAGAGCGCCTGCACTGCCTTTTAAAACGCATCCAAGGCCACCCTCAAGAGCAGACTCAATGCTGTCAGCTGCAGCTGAAGCCTCCGTGTGTGCACAGAGGGCAGAGCGTGGGCAGCCCGGGGCAGGACTGGGGTCAGGGGCAATGCAGCTGGAAGGGACCGTAATCTGAGTTGCTCCTTGCAGACAAAGTCAGCCTTTGTACTGATGGAAACTTGTGGGGCAACTCGGGAGCCGAGCTGGGTCATGTGAAAAGGTGTTTCTTTACCTAGCCAGCTTGGACTCCTCAAACATCCAGCTGGCAGAGCCTGAGGTTTCAGTCAAATCTTGTACGTTAACATTAGTTTACTAACAGACTGAGGAGCAAAGGATTTGGCCCTTCATAGCCTTTCATTCACAAACTCAGAAACTTTTGTAATGGAGAGGAAAATCAGCAAAAATGATCACCTGATAACAGTACTATTGGGAAATTCTTTCTAAAAAAAGAAAATACTACAGAAGATTGCCCCAAATGGCAGTACACCAGCAGTTTTAGAGTCAATTTTAGTGCTGTTTTGTGTTTCACTGTTTACAATTTAATTACCAGCTAGAAAAATGATCAGGTATTAGGTATAGTGAAGCCCCCATGTGTGGCACCAAGCAGTGGCACAACTCACTGTAGCAGCTTATCTTTGGGAGGCCTCCCTCTCTCCCTTTTTCACTATTCTCTTCTTCCTGCTCCCTGCTTCTGCTCCCAATTTCCTTAAATACAATATAGTGAGAGTTTTACACTCAGCTTTAATTTTCCCAGAAAGGACAGCCCTTAAAAAGCAGCACAAGTTATTTTACTCAAGACCATAAAAAGGGACTTGCACTCCAGTGCAGCCATCTAATAGACAGATGAACCAATTCTATTAATATAAAAACATTCTACCTGTGCCCTTCCCCCAGCAAAGCTTTTGCCAAAACTGGAACAAAACCCTAATCTAGCCTTTATTAAAGTGGAGAAAAATCAACTTCCTTTCACTCTCCCACTCATTTTCCACCACTGTGATTTTCTAAATTTCAGGCAGGCCTGTGACCAAGAGCTACAGGGCCAAAAGTGGCTGGATGTGCTGTATTCCTGGCCCAAATGGAAGCAGGAAATACTAAACATCTTGCATGGAAGCCTGTTCTCATCAGGTTTATAGCCCAGCTTTTTTCATCAAAAGCAGTGAGGATAGTACACAGTTCAGAAATGCATCCAAGCATATGGGAGTCTCTCTACACTAATCCTCCTTTTGAGTTTCATCCAGCACTAAATCAGAGCCACACTGGAGAGAGAAATAATGCAATAGCTTGTGGAAAATACATGGCTCCTCTCTGTTAGGGTATGGAAAATCAAACATGACTCACTTTTCTCCTTAAAAATTGTTGGAGGAATATTAAGCATAAAGTATGACAGAGACTGGAAAAGAACAAAAGCCAGATACCTTTTAAACTTGCCTGCCCTGGGACTATACATCCCTGAGCAGCCTTTGCTGGGACAGCAACAACAATCTTGGAAGAGTAACAGGATAATGACACAGGTGACAAAACTCACCTGAGAGGCTAAGAAAACACCTCTTTGCAGAGTTAACCTGCAATGCTCACAGCATTGCAACTGCAGCCACCACTTTGAGAGGCCCCCGAGAGCATCTCTGCTGGAATTCTGGGGAAGAAGGGATGCACAGTCATATTTTCCCAGACAGAATACAGAGCTCTCTGTGTGGGGGAGAGAAAGGGCTTTGCTGAGCTCATCCAAGGACAAGAGGGCCCTATGGCAGCACCGAGGCCCAAAGAGTGTGCTGTCAGTGCTGCCTTGGAGGTGGGAGCAGAAAAGGCAGAGCACTCCCACTCCCCACCACAGCTTCTGGCCTTACCTACTGAAAGCAAAAACAGAAAAAGCAATAAGAGGACACCTACACCAACTTCTCAAGATGCTGTAGCAGGGAAGCCCAGGCTGACCAAGCCTTGAGCCCTTCATTCCTTTTTCAGTATGTCAAAAGTAAAAAAATTCAAAGTACAGCCCTGATCCACAGGCTCCAAACGCCACTCTCTGGACTTCAGACAGGTGACAGAAATAAAAGTTTTTAGCAGAGCTTGCTTCAGAAGTGCTGATGAGTTTGGGAGCTGAAAAAGAGCTGTCAGCTGATAAAATGATGTGGGTAGTTAAGGATACAAGTTAGGAGAGGCATTGGCTATGTAATTAGCAACAGGAAAAATAAATGCAGCTCCAAGCACACGAGCAGGTACACGTGCAGAGCCAACTTGGAACTTGTAAACAGCCTATTGTTTCCATACATGAGGACTTGCAAACAGCCTATTGTTTCCACACATAAACATCTTTGAACTTGAATTTTCTTTATCACATTTACTTCCTTTTCCTGATTAAAACTGACAGAAATCCCCTTTTTTCTTAATTTTCTAAAAGAAAGAAATCAGTATTTGACTTCTAGCTCTTGAAAATTATTGACCAGAATCTTGCTTGGCATAACTCAGCCTTGCTATCATAGAATCATAGTTATCACAGAATTGTTTGGGCTGGAAGGGACTTCAAAGACCATCTAGTCCAACCCCTCTGCCTTGCACAGGGACACCTTCCACTAGACCAGGATGCTCAAAGTCCCGTCTTACTTGGCCTTAAACAATTCCAGAGATAGGGTATCCACAGCTTTGCTGGACAACCTGTTCCAGTGCCTCACCAGCTTCTCAGTGAAGGATTTCTTCCTAATATCTAATCTAAACATACCCTCTTTCAGTTCAAAACTAAATTGCCATCTACAAAGCAGAGCATCTTTACTGAGGCTTAAGATTTTCTCCCATATGCTGTTTCTTTAGAACAACTTGTCTTCCTTTTTTGCTTTTTTTTCCTTTTTTTCACAATATGCATCTGGTTTAAGGTGACTTTTTCTTTCCCAGCATATGGAGCAGAATGATTATGATGATTTAGATTTATTTTAAATCACAGCCTATTAAATGGAAAAATAAATGCTAATATGTTGATATTGTTTACTTCTGAATGAATTATTGATATGAATGAGTAGTTGCTTCTATCATAATCAGTCTTTATTAAATGAATATATTTTAAATTAGAGATCCTTAATTAAGAAATCACATTTTTTCCTGAAAATTCTTTCCCTGGTGCTAGTATAAAAAATACCTTACATTACTCTATGGAGAAAAAAAAAAGGCCAGTGAAATTATTCTATTTTTTATCTTTTCCTTTGCTCTGTGAATTTGGCAGTGCTTTGTGCATATTCCCTTTCACTGCTTCTCTCCTCTAATCAGTTAAGTGAGGCTCTTTCCCCTCTGTTGTTTGTGTGGATCTGTCACATAGCACCTAGAGACAGAAAAAACCATTTTAAGTAGGAAAATGCAAAACACAAAAACTAAAGGATTGAAGATCAGATACCTGAAACTCCTCTCAACATTTTCTTTCAAGCTGAGCACATTTCAGATTAATAGTGACTCTTTAACATAAATAATGATCTAATGAAATAAATATGAAATAGAAAGAATCATAAAAAGAATTTTACATTTAAGAATGCCATCTGTGTAACACTTAGCCTAACAATGAAATCATTTCAGTGCCAAAACAGCTCACTCTGCTTCCAGCACAAGTTACAGGAGAGGGTAATGGCTTTGTAAAATGGCATAAAAGTCTGAGCTCAATCACAGAAGGAACACCTGGGTTCAAACTCACTCTGCTTCACACAGACAATGGGTCTCACACATGAGTTTTGAGCTCACCCCTGCTAATGTTTCCACTTCGAGTCATCACAAATTTTTCACAAAGCTGACGATTTTTATTGCAAGGATATAAGATTTTGTGGGTCAAGGTGAGGGAATCTTGCAACAACTGATTCTCTGCTTTCCAGCTGTGGAATCCAGAGTCGGTACTGTCTGACTGAAGTGCACAGGACTCAGAAACAAGACCCTGTGTAAGTACATCTGTCAGAAGAAAAATTCCCTCATTCCCTCACCTAGGACTTAACACCAGAGCAGCAATCAGTTTGGGACCAGTGTCCTAAGCTGCAGGTCTGTCTGGGCACACACCGTGTCGCAGAACAGAGACGCTGTTTCTGTGAACAGGGAAGCCAAGCTCTTGCCATGTGCAAGGCGGCGCAGCAGATCCATGCAGAACACAATGGAGATTGTTTGTTTATACCAGCCAAAGAGAAGGGAACATATTTGTTTTGAGTGAGCTGTGTTAGAATACATATTGTTGTATATGCCCAGGCCTCATTACGCCATGCTAGTCTTCAATATGGATCAGATCCTAAAACTGCTCGACATACTGAAATAAATGTGAGTTCTACCCACAGAACATCTCCAGACTTAGGCCTCATGTCTGTCAATGTCATCTCAAAAAAACAAATGTTCAAAGAAGAAAAACAAGAAAAGTATCTTAGAGACTGTGGAGGATGCTCACGTGTGGTAGATGCCATTCAAGGGTATGCTGAGGAATTACTTGGAGAGAGAGAAATCCACACACCAAGACTGGAGAAAAGAGTGGGCCTGAAAAAAAGGAGAGAGAATTAAGTTTCATGAAAGAAATATTTCTTACTTGTATTTCAGAAGTTCCTTCACATCAGCAATGAGGACGCATTAACATCTCCTCAGGCAAAGGTGGCCACAGCACAAATTTTGCTTAAAGATATAATCGTGAGGGCATTCACAGAGGAAGAGTTAAAGTGCTGTTCAGTAAACAACCTGAAGTGCTGTATGCTGTATTCATATAAGGAAAGGTATGAGCCAACGGAGAGAGATGTTCAGCTGCAATCAAAGAGGATCTAAGCTTAACTGAGTGCTCACATGACAGTTGGGATCATTTCGGATCCCTTCCAATGAAGATAAAATAGCATCAAAAGCAGAGAGGGTTTTTTTCTTTCTTTCTTTTAAGGATGAAAACACATCATTAGTCAAATTTACTCTGAACTTCCACCTCCTCATGTTGATTTGTACTCAGGTTCAGTAAACATATCTTTCCATCAAGGTAAATAAATGTAAAAGCCCATCAGTAACTTAATTGCTTAACGATGGATGCAGTGTGGGGTGTAACAGTGTTTCTGACTATACTGTTCAAGTTAACGACCTCTCAAAAACACCTATTATACAGCTTGGCAGTAAAAAAAAAAATCTGTTCCTGCTTGGAAATCTGCTTATAAAATTTCAACCTTTTTTTCCTGATGTTGGGGACGGGGTGGAAACCTCTGAGGACAATTTTTCGGGTGGACTGATGTAAAATGGAGTTTACTCATTTGAGATGCCATCCTTTGTGGGTTTGCATGACCCAAGAAAATTAGGCTCAAGAGAAGTGGGGAATCCACAGTGAGGGCAAAAGTTACACAGCCTAGGGAAAACATCTCCAAATTAAAATGCTCATGGTTCTGAGTGGGATCATTTTCTGGGAGGGGTAGAGGGCTGGGTCTGCAGATGTCAGGAAGAAGCCTGATCCCGCATGCGTAGCACACATCTAGGGACATCTGGAAATGTGCCCTCCTCCTCTGTCCTTGCACACCTAGAGCACAGGACTGAGGACCCATGAGAGAAAGCAGTTGTTCCCATTAAAACCAAGGCGTTTAATAGAGGTGAAGGCAAAATCAGCTCTCCAGTGAGAGAACAGTGAGGGTGGAGGGTATGCCAAGCATCTGAGAGTGAAATCTGGCTCACGGTGGGCAGGCAGGCTCAGTGCAGAGGCACAGCTGCCAGCCTGACATGATGGATCAGAAAAGCTACTAAGGAGCTGGGAGAGTCCGGGCAACTGAAACAAAGCAAAACATGAAGAGGCAATAGGTCAGACCTTCTTTGCAATCTATCAATTAAACAAGCATCCACTTCCAAAGGAGTATGATGTCCTAAGCAGTAGACATCCCAGCACGTGATTGCTACTGTGATGGAGGGACAGGCTTACCAAAAGGAATTAATAATAATAATTACTAGTAGTGCTAATAATTTGGTTGAAATTGTTCTTTAGTGAACCCCTCTGAGGAAATAACATGGTTGGGCATTTTGGCTTAATTCTATAGTCCCATACCAGCTTTACTCAGCCTGTTTAAAAACAAAGGTGCGTTCAAATCTGTCCATTACATGGGAGGCTTGTGCCAAAATCTTGCCCTCCTTCAGTTAGGCCACAGTGGTGAGTGCCACAGAGTTGGCTTCAGCTGCTTTCTCCAAAAACCCTGAAGCTTTCAGAAACATTCATTTCTGCTGGCATCACTCAACAGCTCATTGTTAGGATTTGTACTCATTGGCATGCAGGAACTGAGACTGATGTACAGGGTGATCCAGAGTGACAACCTTCAGCCCCAAAAGTGGATACCTGCTTCCCTTAGAGTCCAGCAACTCACACTTGACTCAGAAGGATATATACAAAAATTATCTTTCCTCTCTCATTTGTGTGTGCTAAAGCTAAGTGTATTCAGCCAAATTAGCAATCAGGCAAACTGTGCATGCAGAAATCTGCACTTGTACAAACTGTGCATTTTTTTTGTAACATTCCAAGATTAAATATCTTGACAAAAGATGAAAACCCTTTAACAAATTTGCCCCTAGAGAAAAGTAACATTTTTTTATTCCATTTACTGTCAAACGACATATAGTTGAACACAGTCCTATAGGTTGATTTGTTGCTTTAAATAATGTCACTAACATCCAGATATCAATGTGATGGTACAGAAAAAAGAGTTCACATTGAGCTAGATTCAATTACAGACCTAGAAATTGAAATTAAGTCTGATGCTACATGCTTAATTCATGTTTGTGTGAGTGAGAAAGGGAGTATCTGGTTTACCTTGAATTTCCTGCCTTAGTGTGGTGAAAACATGACCCGTCGCATTAATTAAAAAATAGTTTACAAATGTAACTTAAGTGGTATTGCACTGGCAGGAGGAGACAAACACCTTTTTGTCCTTGACATGTTATGTGATATAAAGGAAGCTGTTCAATAGCTTTGTCCTCAATTCCAAGGTAGATCTTACAATTCCCACTGAAGAACAGGAACAAAGGTATGATGACACTTCGCAATGAGAAGCCAAAGATTGTGCTTTACTTAAAAAAAAATTTAAGCATTTATCCCTCAAAACCCATAACCCTCTTCTGACCACACAGTTTACACAGGTGCCTATAGGTAGCTGTCACATATGTTATGTAGGTCTATATTTATCTAATTTAAGCATTTTACCCAGGTTGGTATTTTCACGTTTAATACCCCAAAATACCACATCACAGCAATGGACTTTCAACCAGCACACATTTGACTACTGATTTCACATATGCGGCTGGGACTAACTTTTCTCCTAATATGGTGATGGCACAGGCACTATTTAAATGATTCCTGAGCCTCGTAAATATACACCAGATGTATCTTTTGTAAATGTTACATTTTTCAACATCTCAGCATTTGTGAATAGTTGAAAGCGATGCCAGCCATGCTTTAATGGGGCACAGAAGCGTACTGCATTCAAAGAAATGGCACACCGTTGCAATAGTCAAAATTACAAGTGCTGTCAAAAAGCTATATTTTTGCTTTATTGATTAGCACCAGGTAACACAGTGCTTCACATAATACCTTCATACGTGCCTCTTTCAGCTGATGATGTTTCCCTGCACATGGGCAACACAGAGAGGGATGTGGAACTTCCCTGGGGCTGCTCTGGGGAAGGAGAAGGGCAGAGGGGCCTGGAGAGTCACATGAGGCCAGAGGTGGGGGCAGAAGGGCTGGGGGAGCTGCCGCTCCCACAGCTATGGTCACAACCCACTGCCTTAAGGATGTGCCCACCGTCCCAGAGCTGGGGAGGGAGCAAAGCTCACCTTTCCCACAGGTACTGATGCAGTTTGAAGCTGCATTTTCCTGCAGCTCAGGCTTCTGCTGCTTGGTCCTCCCTTGTTGCACAGGTAACTCAGCACCAGGGAGAGGTATCTCCCGTTAGGGACCTCTCTGTGAGCACAGGGCGAATTCACCATAAGAAGAAGCCACCTCCTGGGCTTTTCCAGACCTCTCTTTTTTCCTAAGCTTTTCCTGGCTTTCCTGTGTCCTTGCAGAAATCTCACAGAAGACCCAGGAGCACTTGAGTAACAGGTTATGGAAAATGTGCTCTCTGCACCTTCTACCTCCTCACACTTGCCCATCCCCACCACATCCAGACTGCCCCCACAGTCTCCCCATTAGCACCAGGCAGTAAAAGGAGCTGTCAGAAATCAGCCATCACATTTGCCTAAAATTGCAAATTTTTGTGGAATTTGTTCCCCAATTCTCTCACAGATAAGAGGAAAGATCTTTATAATATTGCACAATTACTATTATTTGCAAGGCAGAGTGCTTTTGCTCAGTGAATTTTGTGCTGTAATTGCACCATGCAACCCAGTTCAACAAATCAGCTAAAATCAGAGCTAGGTGACACAGGACAATAAACTTAGAGGGAATGGACTAGACATAATGCCCCACTACAAGTATTATTTCCAAGTTCACAGGCTTGCAAATTAAAATGTCCCTGGACCAGTGCCATAAGAAAGAACATTAAAAATCAGGGGAAGAGGTCTGGGCATCTGTTAGAAGAATCTAATATATACCAAATGTGTATGCTGAGCTTCTTAGATATATGCATTGCTGAAATATAGCCTATGATTAATGTAAAAGCAGAAATATTTTAATTGTATTTTTCCATTTGATATTCAAATGAAAAAAATATATCTTATTAAACACAACACTTGGCTTTGCTATTTTAATAAAAAATAAGTTGTTGAGGAAAAGAAAAGCAAAACTACTGATTCCTTTCCTTATGATGATCAAATGAGCCTTTCATGTTTGTATCTTATACTTCACTTTTTAGCATTTTGAGGCAAATAGCAGATATCAAAACTTAGTAAATAATCAAAGACTTATTCAGTTTTCCAAACCGTCATGCTGCTTATCTTGTAATAACTGATCTCTTAGGTAGCATAAGCTATTTAATTGCTACTGAAGATTATTTGAATGAAAAATGAGACGACATTCTCCCTTACCCCTCAAAAAAGACAAAACTATATTCTTCAAAAAGACACATGCCGACAGATAGATTCTGATCTCTTCTACACATGCACAAGTGCAGCAGCTAATTTTACAAGATTTGATAGGAGCTGTGTATCTGAGATTACACCCTGTCCTCCAGACTGCACATTCCACATGGAAAATGACTTAATTTGGAAATAAATTTTGTTGCTGATAAATCCAGACTCTCAAGTCTCTGGGCATCCAAAGAACCAAACCTATTAAATTATTGTAAAAAACAGCTACTGCATTTTAAAGGGACTTTTTACAGTGTTGGCAAAGTGCGTATTCATGTATCCCCCCTGACATGATAGACTGTAATGGTTCCAGTCTGTCATGTCAACCATCTGCATATTAAACAGTCCCTAAGTACACATTGACACAGCAGACCCTAATAGCTCTGAAGCCGTAACAATCTATTGAGTCAATAATATGCATGTTAAAGAGCATCTCCTGTACTTCCATCAATATCTTTTATCTTTTACTTAAT